TTTTTTTTTTTTTTTTTTTTTTTTTTTTTTTTTTTGTCGTTGTTTTCCTTTGGTTTGGTTTTGATTTGGGGGTTTTTGAGATGGAGTTTCTCTGTATAGCTTTGGAGCCCATTCTGGAACTAACTCTGTAGATTAGGCTGACCTTGAACTCACAGAGATCCACCTGCCTCTGTCCCCCAAGTGCTGGGATTAAAGGCCTGCGCCACTACTGGCCTGCTGCTCAGCCTGCTTTCTTATAGAACTCAGGAGCACCAGGCCAGGAATGGCCTCACTCACAGTAGGCTGTGCCCTCCCCTCAACCACTAATTAAGAAAATGATCTGCAGGCTTTGCCTACAGCCTCATCTTCTGGAGGCATTTTCTTAATTGAGGGTCCCTCTTCTCAGATACCTAGTTGGGTCAAGTTGTCACAAAACTATCCAACATAAGAATTGGGTAGAAAGTAGATGTTTCTCATAATTTGAGGCTCTTTGTTTTGACACAGGGTCTCATCATACAATGCAAGCTCGCCTCAAAAGAAAGCCTCTTGCAGACTTGACTCTGGAGGGGTTCCCAGGTATCCAAGGAGATGTCCCCAGCTTGTTCCTTGGGCAGCTGAGGAGAGGGAGCCTGAACTGGCCTTATCCTATAGCCACACTGATGAACATCTTGCATATCACATAGAACCTTCATCTGGCGATGGATGGAGATAGAGACAGAGACCCACATTGGAGCATCGGGCTGAGCTCCCAAGGTCCAAATGAGGAGCAGAAGGAGGGAGAACATGAGCAATGAAGTCAGGACCTCAAGGGGTGCGCCCACCCACTGAGATGCTGGGGGCTGATCTAATGGGAGCTCACCAAAGCAAGCTGGACTGGGACTGATGGAGCATCATGTGATCAAACCGGACTCTCTGAACGTGGCTGACGCTGACAATGAGGGCTGACTGAGAAACCAAGGACAATGGCACTGGGTTTTGATTCTACTGCATGGACGGGCTTTGTGGGAGCCTAGTCTGTTTGGATGCATACCTTCCTAGACCTGGATGAAAGGGGAGGGAAATGGGAGGAGGTGGAAATTTTTAATAATAATAATAATAATAATAATAATAATAATAATAAAAGAAAGCCTCTTGCCTGAACTTCCCAAGTATTAGGATTTCAAGAGTGGACCACAGTACCCAGTCTACCTCACAAAATTTGAGAAAAATAAAAAGAACACTTTTCTATCTTATTCTATATATTTGTGAGCTATTTGAAATGTAAAAAGAGTAAAATTTGAATTCACAGCTTCTTCATTTAAGCAGTCATTTCTTTTTTTATATTTATTTATTATGTATACAATATTCTGTCTGTATGTTGCAGGCCAGAAGAGGACACCAGACCTCTTTACAGATGGTTGTGAGCCACCATGTGGTTGCCAGGAATTGAACTCAGGACCTTTGGAAGAGCAGGCAGTGCTCTTAACCACTGAGCCATCTCTCCAACCCCAAGCAGTCATTTCTTAAGCTTGGTCCTTTCTTAAAGAGTTAAGGTGTTTTTGTAAATTATTCTTCTAAAACTTTTTAAAAGATTCTGTCTGATTTTTAGTGTTAGTCTCTATTTTTGCATCCTAAAATATATATGCTTAATTTTGCCACTATTTATTTTAAACATGGAAATTGTTGCTTTTAAAATAGCAAGTAAAGAAAATTTCTCTGCGGTTCCTAGGAAATCACAGTGAAGTGACTGGCACCAGCATGGGGAAATAAGGTCGCGAGCGCACGAAAGTTGTTTTAGGGTTCTGAAAAAGAACTTTCTACTGACGACAGCTAACTAACCGCAGACCCCGAAACCATTCAGGCTTGCTTTATTAACACCTCCTAGGTAAGAAGCTCCCAATCCTCGCCAGCATTTGGTTTTCTGATCCTTTCTTTCCATCCCGAGAAGGATTGCTTATTCTATATGTTTCTCGTCAGCACAGCCTGCGAATTTCTCACTTACCTCACAATGAGAGCAGAAAATTCCAGTTGAGTGTGCGGAGCCTTCAAGTTGCGCCATTTGTGAACAGAACAGATGTGAACAGAACAGATGTGGACAAAGCGTTTGTCAGAGCAGCTGCTGGGGCTCGCAGATACAAAGGCTCAGGTCAGGTGACTGTGGGGCTCCAATTCAAAGTGAGCACAGCAGTTTTGATCAATGTGGCCTAACCTAATTGCTACTCCCCCACTCCAGTTAAAACTGTCCTGTGTCTTTGTAGCTTTATTATTATTATTTAGTTGATACCACGCTGGGACATTTGGAAACGAAAAGTAAAGCAAATAATAGTTTTCCTTTTTCTGTTTGTGAATAATTTGTTTCGAGTTAGGTACATTTCTTTAGTCCATTGATTGCTCTGGAAATCAGCAGTCACAGATCGATAAGTCATGTCCAGCTTTATAAACAGCTGCCTGGGGCGAGCCTAGCCTCATCAAATGACAGAGACAGACAGACAGAGAGAGAGAGAGAGAGAGAGAGAGAGAGAGAGAGAGAGAGAGAGAGAGAGAGAGGGGGGGGGGGGGGGGGGGGGGGGGGGNGGGGGGGGGGGGGGGGGGGGGGGGGGGGGGGGGGGGGGGGGGGGGGGGGGAGAGAGGTTTCTTATTTTAGCACGGCATGGTAAAATACGTAGCAAGATAAGCACTTTTGCACCAGAGGGCGCTGTGCCTTCATGGAATGAATACTGTGTTCCAGCGAGAGTCCTTTAGACCACAATATGACTCAGGAAAATACTTTTTTTTCTCTATAAGGAACTGGAAAGCTAAACAGTATCCTCAGAACCCAGGTCTGATTTTAGAAGAGAACTAGAATTCCGGGGAAATTGCAGAAAACCAGAGACTAAATGCTCGAATTCACAATCCACAGCATCTTTTACTGGTCATATTAGAGAGCGTCTCTCACTGTCAGTAAAGGGATCGACAGCGCTACTGGGTCTCAAAGATACCCGGAAGAAAAGGCTACTGGAGGCGCCCATATAACATACCAAAGTGGAGGCCAAGTTCTCAGCTAGCATTTGTTCCAGAGTCCAGGCTCCTCAGCACTTCTCACCCCCATGCCCTGCCCCAAACTCTCCAGCAGCTTCTCTTATAACAGCCAGCCACTGGCTCCGCGCTCTCTTGGCCTCTTGGCCCTCAGCTCCTCTCTTCATCCATTTGTCCTTTCTCCTCTTCCCTCCCTCTTCTCTCCCTCTATAGCTCTCCCCACCTCTCTCCTCTCGTGGCTGGGCTTGTTCTACCATCCATGTTCAATTCCGGCTGCTCTGCCGGATGCCTCTGCCTGTGCTCTCCCTCGGATCGGCAATACAAACCTCCTCAAACGTCGTTTACATCAACGAAAAGGCAGGGATGTCAGGTCTCAAACCTGGGACAGAAGGGTAACTGAGGTGCCCATTTAATAGTAAAGCAAACTTGGCCTCCCGGTTCTCCCAGCATGCCTGAGATCCTGCCTGTTACAGGGTGTGGCTGGCATTCTCTTCCCCACTCCCCTAAACTTCTCCAGTTCAGGGACTAAGATATCTTTCCCCCAGCTGCCCTTTCCTGTATACTCCAACCGTTTTGGTTACTCTTTTGTCTTCCCTTTACTCTCCTGGCTCTCCCTTCTCTCCCCTTCCACTCACGGGGTCCAGCGCAGGGTCATGTTCACTCTGGGTGCCCCCACGTTTCTGTCTCTGACTATGCTACCCCTTTTATCCAAAGTAAAAATTTCTCCCCTTTCATACCTAGAAGCAGTCATGTCCTTTCTTTTTTGTTTCTTTTTTTCATTCCCCCGGTGCCAAAACCCTCAGTATTGGCACATATGGGTTCCCTGCCAAGGAACTTGGGCTCCCCAAACCAAGCGGCTGATTTGGCTCTCCTAAGGTGTGTGTGGATCATTTGCTCTGCTGACTCCTGCCTCCCATCGAATTTGACTCCAAATTCCAGAGTTCACCTTCTCAGCTCCCTCTCCCTTGCATGTGTTCTAACAGTTCCTTTTCCCATGTCATAAGTGTCTCTAACTCCTGGAGACGTTATCCTTCCAAGCCACCCACCTGGGTGTCCCACATCGCTCTGCTCTGCCCTGCGAGAGCCATCTGGGTATCTGCTAAAGACACCGACGCCCTCTTCCCTGGTTCTCTGGTCTCAGTCCCACTCTGCTAGCTCTCAGCTTCCAGTCCCAAGGCTCGCTGCTTCTACACTATTTGGCATCCTCATGTGGTATACTATGACTTGTTCCCTCTCCTCCCCCTAGGAGCTGCCTACAACTGTCCTGCAGCTTCCTTAAAGCCCTTCTGGGCCTCCGTCCTATCTGTCACTCATCTCCCTCCAGGAAATCAGGCAGCTTCCCTACACCCTCAGGACCTCTAGATTTTGGAACCCTCCCTGAGGTGGAGTTCCTGCCTGTTCCTCCTTTTTGCTCCTGGCTACCCTGTTCTTCCAGTCTCAGCTCCCTCTAAGAGCTCAATGGAATCCTCCCTGGGGTGGGGTTCATTTCACAATCCTTCCCCCTTTTCTCCTTGAACTCAATTCCTTCCTCACACTCTGAGATTATTTTAAAGCCTTGTCTTACTGCAGACGACTTGGCCTCAGTACAGATCAATGGCCAAAAATGGGCACCACTGGATTTCCAAATTCTCACAAACCGTAACCACTGCCAGAGCACACATAAAATGATGCCAAATCTCTTACGTTTAAACTAGCTCTGTTCCATACTTCCTCTACTTCCGACTCTTAAAAACCTTTTATCTATAATATCTCTGCATTCTGTTCTCAGGAAAAAAAATCTCTTTAAACAATCCTCTAACTCTATCTCCAGATTTGTAAGTTCGTTGGGTATGATTTTAAAAACCTATAAAAAAATCTGTAACAAAATTTGGCTTTAAACTTATACCAAAAGGTTTATAATTAAAAACCTAGGGCTGAGCAGTGGTGGTTTATGCCTTTAATCCCAGCATGGGGGTGGGGTGGGAACAGAGGCAGGTGAATCTCTGAGGCCACCTTGGTCTACAGAGTAAGTTCCAGGACAGCTGTGGATACATAGAGAAACCATCTCAAAAAGCCAAAGAGAAGAGAGAGAGATCTACATACAGGTAATCTTAATTTGCTACAACATACCTATATATAAGATTCATCTCTTATTAAGAATATAATACATATGTAACAGATTCAATTCCTATTTAAAAATAGAAAAACAAATCTATATTATAGTTATTTTAGATATCAACCACATGGTTGGTAACCATCTTTACTAAGGTTAAGGGGGATATACCATGTGACTTTGCCATGTTAGCATGACCACATGGTATAAGACAATTAAGAGAGCAGCTATATAATTTCTTAGTCCTACTGAGCCCTCTGCTTATTGTTGTATATCCTTTCGTGAATAAGAGGACAACAGCAGGTCTCCAAAATATTTTGGATTGTATGGAATTTTGTATGATGATATAAAAGTTATAAGGTCTGGACCCTGACTGCACCTATACCTGGAGAAGAAACCATCAGAACTGTGGCCTCATCTACACCTAGAAGAGCAACCACCATAGCCTTGGCCCTATCTGCACCTGAGGAGCCACAGAGTGGCATCAGAGACCACCAGAGGCATGGCTCCAGCTGCACCTGGAAGAAGAGCAACCACCTCACCCACAGCCCCCCCCACGCACCAATTGGAGGAAGAGGGACCCCCTGAAGCACAGGCCCCACCTGCACCATTGGAGAAAGAGATGGGCAGCTGACAGTGTAAGAACACATTTCACAATGTAAAGAGTGATATGGCACTAGCAGAAACTAGTTCTACACCACCCAGGGGGCTCCTCAGACTCTGCAACCTAGATGGCTCCAAAGTGGCCTGCACTTCCTTAGCCCAGATGACCCTGCAGAGCCTGGAGAGCAAGCAAAATGACCTCTCTCTCTCTCTCTCTCTCTCTCTCTCTCTCTCTCTCTCTCTCTCTCTCTCTCTCTCTGTCTCCATCAAAGACTCCAGAAGGATATAATATTACCTAGGCAAACAAGAAATAAGCAACTTCCAAACTCTAGAAATGACAGAGACATTTTACTCTCTGGGCACTCACCCAAAGTTCTTCTGTACCGTTGGGGCATCCATCTTCAGCCTACAGGCCTGTAGTATCCAGCAGACTTTTCCATGAAGCCAGGAAATTCCAAAGACAGCTCTGCCTATATTGGCAGTTTGTCAGTCACTTTCTTATGTGTCCTGCAGAATGTCTGGCAGACTCTTTCATGAAGCAGGAACCCCGAAGGACAGTCTCACCTTTAGGCAAATTCAGCAGTCATTTTTCTGCAGGTCCTGCATGTCTAGTTCATCCTTGCCCGGATGGCTAATAAACTCCATAAGGAGCCTCTTCGATGCCCATCTTCCTCTTGAAGTAGATTGGTGCTGCCAAGAGCAGATGTGTCTCACTGTCATGAAAAGTCCTAAATTTTTAAAACATCTAAATGCCATATTCTGAAGGTCTCTGAAAGATTTAAGGACTACCTAACTAACTGAAATATATCTCTATATATCTAGAAAACTTAACTAACATGACTACAAGCTTGACTATTATAGATGAGTATCTATTAACTTATATTTCTTAATTATACACTACATTTTGAATGAGCTACACAAACATAATACCTTAATCAAGATCAGAAATACACATACATATAACACTATTGACTTTAAATTTATATCAATAAATCAAGATCCGGGGGCTAGAGAGATGGCTCAGAGGTTAAGAGCACTGACTGTTCTTCCAGAGGTCCTGAGTTCAATTCCCAGCAACCACATGGTGGCTCACAACCATCTGTAATGGGGTCTGGTGCCCTCTTTATGTCCAGCAAGTATACAAACAGACAGAACACTGTATACATAATAAATAAATAAATTTAAAAGAAAGAAAGAAAGAAAGAAAGGAAGGAAGGAAGGAAGGAAGGAAGGAAGGAAGAAAGAAAGAAAGAAAGAAAGAAAGAAAGAAAGAAAGAAAGAAAGAAAGATCCATACCAATGCAAATCTCTATAACAGGGCTTAGGCCTGAAGGAGAGTATGGGATATCCCAGTGGTGGATAAGGATAATGGGTTGAGAGAAAGCTTTATGAATTATTGTTTGATGAGTCTGTTAGCCCTCTCAACCTTTCTCAAGAATTGTGTGCAGTTGGGGTATGGAGTTTTCAGATGTTGAGGGCTTCAGACACAAGCTCAATGACCCTGGAAGTGAAAGCTGAGCCATTGTCCA